AACTGTAAAGACTAGGAAGAAAAGGACTGTTTTCAACAATTCAGGGCAAAATATGAGCATTTTGCAGTTGATTCTGAATTTTTTTTTTTTTTTTTTTGCAAATCAGGAAAAAATGAAGAGGCGAATCCGAGAACCAACAAATTAAATTGGTGTGGCCTTAATAGAAGTTATAAACCTATTACATCAAGACACAAGAGTACTCACTCCGGATGGGGAAACTGAACTGTTTAACATAACTGCAGAGTACTACAAGGCAACACATTAGCACCCTATCTTTTTGCACTATATAGTTCTAGATTATGTTACGCGTCAGACATCAGCTAACTAAGAACAAGGACTGGTCTTTGCAGCTTGAGAAAAAAAAAGTAGAAGAAACCCACCTGTCGTCATAAATGACCTAGATTTTGCGGACGATACAGCATTACTAGCTGAAAGACTACAACAAGCACAACAGCTCCTACTCCGAATGGAAAACAGAAGCTGGTTAAGTCTTCACCTGGCTGGTCACTGCATTAGGCACTCCTGCATTCCATCTGGTTCTTAGGGAGCCTACTGCTAAGGGAAAAAGAGGTAGGGGGAGACCCAGAGTCACCTACTTATGGACAATCTGCGATGTGACACTGACTGACCTGCATGGTACCAACGAATTGTGGAGGGCCATGGAAGACCAATTGCTATGGAAGAGACTTTCTGGACGCTCGAACTAAGTAAGAAAGTAACTTAGTAAGTAGCAGTAAATGGGGCATCATACTACAGCGATTGCACAAAGCACAATGGCACATTTTACCTCATACTTCAAGACAGTCACGGTATTTTTGTTGGGTATTTCTTCACATATTTCGTGAGGAGATGGTCCCAATCATTGACAGGTGTGTTAGTCTAATATTTGTGTCATATCCTCATCTCACCTAGCCTGGGTGTCACCCTCCGTAGTTTCCGCCGGCTCCCTAATGTCGCTGGGGGGGGGGGTTACCACGTTGGTGTGGCTGTGTCTCACTTTGACTCTCAAAATGTGATGCAATACGTCATTGAAGGTTTAAAAAAACAACAACAACATCGCAGTCGGTGCTCACTGACTAGCATATAGAATACACATAACTGCGAAAATGCAGGCAGGCAGGCAGGCCATAAACAATATCTCCCCGTGAAGTTGTAGTTCTTACATAGACAAAACACACACTGGGACTGAAAACAAAACTTCGTACATAAAGGTAATATGCCATAACATGTAAAAAGTCCAGCGCTGTCATTTTTGCTGGCTGAACAAAAGTTGGATTAATTGCTTCATTTGTTTTCAGGCAAAACGCCCATAAGGCCAGCAAAACTGAGTTCAAACATGTACACTGACAAGAAGTAACTTACATGTCTAGGCTGAATCTACATTGTACTTCTAATGGCTGGGGAGAGGCTCTCAGACAATGGAGCTACTATATATATGGGGAGATATTACAGCATTTGACATATCCTTCTCTCGGGCACCCTCGTATAAGTGCAGCTTCGGTCCGCACGGTCCCAGCTTCGGTCCGCACGGTCCCAGCTCCGGTCCGCACGGTCCCAGCTCCGGTCCGCACGGTCCAGCTCTGGTCCAGCTCTGGTCGACCGCACGGTCCAGCTCTGGTCTGGAGCTCCACTTACGGGGGTGTCAGGTCAGTTGTTGCAAAACACTTATGTAAGCTACAACCATGATAAAAGGACTGCGGCGGTTGTAATATCTGACCCATTTGGCGGGAGACAATTAGTTTGATTTCTTGTACACTTTTTCCGCGTCAGGATTTGATTTGAGTTATTTACACACGCCTACGTGCTTTGATTGACGTCATATGCAGACGTTTCAAGGCGGCATGTGTGCAAGACTGAATTATACATTGTCTCAGCTCATACGTTACACAGCTTGGCACACCTAACAGGCGCCCTGGAAAGGGTAGAAGTCGTCCATAGCCTGCCAGCGACAGCTCTGCATGCGCAGCTCAGTTCACCATTGTAATCTTAGCATAGAGGATAATTTGGTCACGATTTCAACTGATGTGCTAATGTGCGTGTGTCCTGCGAAAATGACAGTCGTCGCGAGCATATGCATTATGCCACTTTTCCTCGTCATACACTGTGCAGGGGCACGGGGCGCCGCCTTGCCCCTGGACTGCGTCCGATCAACACCGCCTACTCTACGAGTGTCGTGCAGGTTCCGCGATTTAACCGCCGTGCCCGATGGCATCCCACCTGACGTTGTGCGGATCTCCCTCAGCAACAACAAAATCAGGAGCGTCCCGCATCTACCCTTTCTAAAACTCGTCACTTCGGTAGATCTCAGTAGAAATCTAATCGAGACCGTGTCATGGGTTTCCTTACGCAACTTGCCAGCTTTAGGTTTCCTCTATCTAGGTCGTAACAGAATTAAGTTCTTCGATTTCGGCTTCTTTGTCTCCGTTACTAGAGCGCTCGCATATGTGGACTTGTCCCACAATCAAATCTCGTCCGTCGCTAAACCTCAAATTGGAACCACTCAACGCGACTCGCTTGGAATGTTATCCATCACTCACAATCCATTCCACTGTGACTGCAAAATCAAGTGGTTGATCGACAAACTTGCCTGTTTGCAGGCCTGCGGTGCAGGGCACAATCATGACATCATACCCTGTTGCAGATCGTGTGAGGGCTGTCACTTTCTCGTCTACACAAAGATGAACGACCTCACGTGTGGCTCCCCCACCCAACTACAGACATTGCCCCTGTGGAATGTTTCCGGACGACCGCTAGAGTGCCAAGATTCGAACTCATCAGTCGCTAACAGCACCAAGCGTCCCGTTCTTCAAGCGGAACATGAGGGTGCAGAGAGTACCCAACCTGGCAGCGTCCAAGGGAACAACTCTCTCTCTCGTCCTGCTACTTCTTGGTCATCACACTTCTGTCACAGCTCTCCCAGCTTACATCACATAAGCAATACACTGTCTCCAAGCATCACACTACAAACACTAAGTATATCGGAAAGTCTTGAACATACAACCAACACCATCGTAAACAATACAGAATACTTTGGCCATGGCGACGTGTCATCTAGACATGATGTTTCTCCGGACAACATTGGCCATACGGAAGCTTCGAAGACCCCTGTAAGTACTACCGGGCCTGAGTCTGCATGGTCGGGTTCTATCTTTGTCGCTACCATAGTACTAGGCACCCTCATTGGCGTTCTATTCATCTGCTTTACGGTATACCAAGCCAGAAGGGTCTTCATAAACCGACAGACGCGTAACGATGTGAATGGCACGCGACGTGTGTACATTCTACCAGCTGGATACCCTGTCCCCAATAGCACGCTGAACGCTATCTCAGGACAGGTGCAGCAATCGTTTGATGCTCCTGGGACTCTTTCAACAAACCTCCAGATGGTGCCAATGCCACGTAGACTGTCGCAGAGAACCCCACCTGTCGGAGACACCATATCACAGATGGAGAACTTAGCAGCTATCTCGTCACTTCACAATTATCCCCAGAGCATCGGGGCCTCCGTGCGTGCCGGAAAGTCAGACACAAAAGGTAAGAAGTCTGTAGCCTTCCCAGGACCAAATGTAGCCTCGTCTGTGAGGACTACACTTGTACCCACCGGCTACAGTAGCTGTGAGCACTACCCACCTCAGATCACAGAGGATCCAGACTCTCACCATGTGTACGAATATCTTCCATGACAGGACCGGGTGTACGATGGGAGTTTTTTTTCCGGACTGTAGCAGCAGTTCGCACCGTATTCAACGTAAGGCCGGTGTCAGGGATCTGAGACCACCTTGAAGCTAACGGACACTTTTAATACACCGTAAGTTACGTAGTACAGTGGACATTGCCTCTAATGCTGAAGACAACATGTAGTAACTAATTATCTAGTTGTGAGGATGTCTTGTGTGAAGTAAATCATTACATCAACGTTATCAGTGCAAGTGACAGAGCGCATATGTACAATTGTATAGTGTAGCAGTAGACCCAAAACCAAATGCACCTGTGTAAGACTCTATATACCAGAAATATTTGCCTGCATATCTTTGCATACTATAATTTTCGAAAGCTTTGATGTATTCCACACTAGATCAATCTAAACTTAAGCATATTTCATTACATAGAGGTATGTATGATCAACAAATTCAACTTTATCAGTTATACATAGAGCCCGCCTCACACACTGCCAAGGACCTTTGGCCGAGATTGTCCCTAAAACTGGTGCAGTGATCTAGAGAACTTCGGCTGAAAAAATGCCCTCTTGAGCTCGCAGGCTTATGGGATCAGCTATTTTCCTGTTGTGTGATGCTGGCTTAAATGCAGTACAGATGTATGAGATCATCAGAGTTCTCTGACATTTACAACACCTTTTTAACACTACGTATGTATCATACTGGAATTTGTATCTCTGTAGTAGACAAAGGTAGTACTCAATGACAACTATAAAAGATTGTTGAGCCATGACAACCCAGTAGCTTTATTCATTAACCACAATGTCTGAGCAGCATTACTGAAATACATGGTTGATGTATACTGAAAATGCACTGAAGTGACAAAAAACATCATTCTTTGCCTTATAAGTTGGCTGTGTCATCAACAGCTGGATGATTAATATGTATTAACTATATGATTGTCTGCCCATGCGAGGAAAAACATTCTACAGCTATTTTGTGAAGGAAGAAGTAGTAACAGGTATATGTCCTGTATTGTTGCTCATAATGTTACTCATAAATAAAGCTCTTATTACATCTGTGCTTACATTCCACGTTCTTTTAATGAACCATGTGAATTGACAATCAAGTCACGTATGGCACATCGGCTTGTCTTCTTAGATGAATCCAAAAATGGCCCTTTTCCCTTGTTGAAAGGTAGTTTTCTTTAGATGTGAAATGTCAAAATGTCAATCAGAGGGAGGAGCACATTTATTCTATTTCCAAATGCTGAAAATAAACCAGACAGATCTGACACAGGACTGTCACTGTAACAGAAACTGTAACCCTTGAGGGTCTGCATGGGGGCCCTGGCAAAACGCAACTACAGTAAATACAGGACAGGGCTCAAAATACTGGGTGCATGTGCACCTTAGTGCACCCAAATTTGGAGCTGTGCATCCTTGTTTTTTTTTTTTTGGCGGGTGCACCCAAATATTTTTGTAGCTTAACGTATGTAAAGATGTTAAATGTATAGTAGTACTGTATACAGCATATTCTAAGTGTCAGAAAAATAACAAAATCATTGTAGTATGTTTCTTTAGGATTGAAACATAATAAGTTTTTGCTGACCTTCTACTATTTCATTTTATATGGTGCTCGCCAAAATTTTTTGGTGCACCCAATTTTTTAGATTGGATGCACCAGTGCACCTATTCCCAAGAATGAATTTCAAGCCCTGCAGGAGTAAGGCAATGCCAAACAGTAAATTCAGGAGGACGAGCAACACCTACATTTGTATGCACCACTTTAGATTCAGGTATCTCAATTGGCTGTGAACATAGACGCAACTGCATGCTCGTTGTCAGACCTTACTGAGCTTTGGAAAAATTAAGGTACCAGTAGACTAACTCAATTATTATGTAAACAATAAAAAACACTGAATGATGAATTCAGAATAACAAATAACATGCTGCGAAGAAAAGCGACCAACTCCGATTTACAAACAATTTATTGACAACCTTAAACTAGAGCAGACCTGATACATAAGCTAACTATATATAACCTTGCAGAAGAAGGCATGCAGGCCCTCATCCAAGGCATCATCATTCTGAGTCAGTCATCCTCCCCCAGGACTTCCCAACACTGATCGACACTCTGAGTGGAACCTGCCACAAAGAAAAGCCAATTTACTACATGAAATATTTGGCACAGACACACTTCCCTTAATATATGAATGATATATGTGCATTAATTAGCCCTCTTTCATACCTCTATGCTGAGGCCTTCCAATGGATAGACACCAAAATACAAAATGTACACGAGTGCATACAAGTTGTTAAGGCCACACCAATTTAATTTGTTGGTTCTCTGATTTTTGCAGAAAAATATGAAGTGACAGGGTGGAAAAAATAGAAATAAAAACAGGTCTAGGCATCCTATTGATAAATCTATAGCCCCAAATACTATGATAGGAGCCATGAAGTCAACACAAAAGGCTGGGTTAATATTAAATCCGAGAACCAAGAAATTAAATTTGTGTGGCCTAAAGATTGATAATACATGTATGTGCCCTTGGTAATTCTGCAGAAAAATATAGAGAATATGTTGAAACTGATTTGTAAATGTATCATTTTGGATTATATAGCAAAAATTTGACATTTTAATTTGTTCTGGTAATAATGAACACCATTCAATTCCAGTACATGGTGCAAGTTAAATTTTCATTTGTCTAGAAAATAGGAGAAACAAACCACCTGCAACTTGATTTTACCATCACACAGCAAGTCATCTGACTGCATGATGTCCTTGACAACCCCTATGTAGGACAAATAAAAATGAGTCTGGTTTTCTTTACAAAATATACTGTAATTTCCGTCAGGAAATATGTAAGAAATGCTCTATGTGTATGTATGATGTGCAGCACGATGCACTGAAATGAGTTCTGCTTTATGTGTATGTATGATGTGTGGCACATGCACTGAAATGAAATTGGGTATGTATGATGGGCATCACCTGCACTGAAATGAGTCTGAGAGAGTCACCGTTCTAAAGGATATGCAGTGCCTTTCCATTCTACTGCACATAAAAATGTCCACATATCAGACATCAAATGAGAGTCTCACACATGAGAAAATAGATCTCAACAAAACATTTGCTTATAGTATACCATCACCGTTATATCAAAAGTAAGTTGTTTGAAGGTAGAACTAACCTTTGCAATATTTACAGTGTTAAAAAAAACTGGGGGAAGGAGTGCAATTTAAATTGGCTTTGTTCGCTACTTTGTGGTTGGCAGCAGACTTTAAAAACAATGTAAAGTCGATGTTATAATACAGACTTGAGAGAGAATATTGTCAGTTTGGATACCATGCTTAAGAAAATATATGCTACAAATGCAAAGTATTTTTCACTGCCTGTTACCTCTGACACTATCCACTTCTTCATCTGCAACTTCAAAGACAAGTTCATCGTGCAGTTGTATCAGTAACCTCGCCCTCAGGCCTCGTTCCACCAGCTGCTTCCCAACAAGGATCATGGCCAACTTGCAAATGTCTGCTGCAGAGCCTGTTAAGAAGATTCAGCAGAGAATCATCATAATTATTATATATGTAAGCATGCCCAGTCTCTGTTCTACATTTTGTAGAGGTTACCAAGTTTGTCTTGTACATTCTGCTGTGACCCTTCAGTGATTCTTAAATGTATTTCTTTCAACTCTGTATAAAAACAGCCTTGTGCACTGTTATTGAATAAGGAAGATGTTAAGAAATGGCTAACACCATGAAATTAACACTTTGGCCAACAAACCTTGGACAACAAAGTTCACTGCCTGTCTCTCAGCCTGAGACTTGAGGAAAAAGTTGGGTGACTTGATGTTTGGGATCAGCCTCCATCGTTTCAGGATAGTCCGTACATGACCTGTAGGGTTGTAGCAACTGAAATTAGTATTGTTGTACACTGGCAAAGGTTTTACACGATACCTTCACATACAAATAGAATTATTGGATATATCAATTTTTTTTGCACACAAAAGCATAAGAGAAGTGTCTGAAGTAAGTCATCAAATTTTTGTCTATATATTCTACATTACAATTGAGCAATTCTATTTAAGTAATACTTGGTCTTGAAACCACATATCCTTAAGTACATGTATGTAAAATATCACGTTACCTTTAGCTTTGCACTCCTCTATGCATTTGTGGGTGAATCTGCTCACTCCAGGAAACCTACCTGTAGAAAGGCATCAGAGTTTTAACATTCTTCCTCAGCAGCTGCCTAACCCTGCATCCAAGGCTACTTCGTCCACTATGCCCAGGCGAGTTCCATAAATACAGAGTATTTTGAAAAGACAAACCAATGGTACATGTGTAGGTATGTTCAAAGTCTGCAAACTGTATTACTCTTTTCTGATAGATGATCAACTTTGGAACTTACGGAGAAAGCTAGAGATAAATCCTTTGGCCTCAGCAGCACTGACATTCAGGTAGGTTGCAAGCTTCTCCGGCCCTGAAGAGGTGATTTGGGTTTGATTAAATATATTGTGCATGTATTTAAGTCTCCCAGACTTGTCTTGTAGAGAGGATCAATGGTCAGCATTAAAGAAAAACATTAAAGAAAAATATCATCATTAAGTTCACCATCAAAGATTGGTGAGATTACTTGCTGTGACATAGCAATAAAAATGCTCAGTACCGGTATACTGTTTAGTTCCTTACCCACACCATACATAATGGAGTAGACCACTCTCTTGGTCCTCTCCCTGTCTGTAGTCTGCACTGATCCTGGTGGTACATTCATCCTCGGTTGGCAAAAAAGAAAGAGAGAAACTTTCTTTTAGAGCAGTAGCTAACACAGAATCTGCATATCTACATTCTTTGCTGCACCAGCGATATACTCTCCATGGTGCTGAAATGCCTTCAGATGTATAACATAGGGACTAAAAAGCCAGCTTATGCTTGGAACAACACAGAATCATTTTACTGCAGTTCTTTAAGGCAAACGGATGGTAAAATGGCTAGTTGACAGTAGACATCCCATATTATATGCAAACAGTACTGACAATTTTTTTTCAAATCTGGGGTTAAAATGTATATTGAAGTGATTTCAAAAGGAAACTGTTTTTTTACCACTGAGAAGTGAGTTCCACAAATACATCCTTCTTGTCGTCTCCCTGAAACACCTTCAGCAAGGAAGGGTCCTTTGAGAAGTGTGCCAGCAAGCGGAACTCTATGGACTGGAAATCTGTGCACACGACAATGACACAAACAAATCAGGTAGGCAAAGACTTACTGGACTTGGCTCGTAAAGAAACGGGCTCACAGATACAGGATGGCATACAAATGTATGTACATTTCCCACATTGCAGTTTGTTTACTTTACACAAAATTTGGAGATTCTGTATAAGGACTACCGGGTAAGATGGGTTGGTTATACAGAATAATTGATATTACAAATGTACACAATACATGTAGAGAATACAACACAGTGTCACCCAAGGTATCAGGGTGGGACTGAGGGTGATTAAGAATATACCTGAAATATATATATATATCTGTGTACTGTAACAGTGCGGTATAGACTGGTCCAGAACGCTGGTATCAAAGATTATTTCTCCATTGATTCTATTATCACGGCCCAGATATGGCATAAAGTAATAAAAGATACAAGATACCTGCTGCTAGAAATGAGCATCCTTCTCTGGCAATGTACGGTTCCCTGGCACACAAACTTGTTGTTTCATGTTTGTCACCTACATGTAAAACAGTATTTACAAAATTCCTTATCAACTGGAAACATAAAAATTCAGGGGATCAGATTACAAAACATGTATCATTCCACACCTACCTTCTGCTGGTTGTTTGTTGGATGCCTCTGTAATCTCAAGTGGCTGTTTTGGTACAGACTGGATGTTCTGTCATGGTAAAAAGGTACTGGTAAACAATATTCTGCATAATTATAGTAGTGATCATACAATGTTGGGACAGATGAAATTATTGTATAGTGAGGTGTAACAGCAGCAGAGGTGTATACATTGAAAAACACACACTAGAACCAATGAAAACTATTATTTGCAATAAAAAAAGTCATTGACATTTATTGCACAGTAGACTGCTTTTAGGACAAGCTAACTTTACAAGTGCTCTTGTCTGCCACAAATAAATGAATTAAATTTTTCCGTCCTTAAAAAGAGTTGTTAAAATCTGTAATTGAGGTCACCGTGATGAAGTGATGTATACACTTACAGGGTTGGCAGAGGTTAGCCTTCCTGTAGCTGCTGAAGTGTGATCCCTGTATACAAAAATACAGAATTTAATTATTCAACATCTTTATGATACATGTAGTGTTGGAATTTTTTTTCAGATGAATAATGCATAGTTTCATACAAAGGCTGCCAGTTGTTATTGCAACAGAAGTCTTAGATCTGGGTGGTCAAGATATGTGTGCAACAACAGGTGTGCAACAACAGATTGTGTGCAACAACAGGTGTAACCTGACATACAGCACACTGCAGGATGGTTTTTACAATGTTTTTACACAGGCTTTAGCCAAGCGCTTCAGTAGAGCTGCAGCCTAATTTCGAGTAGGAGAAAATGTCTTGGCACTGGAAGCATGTCACTGGAGTCTTACCAGGTGGCAGTCAACTTTCCCTGTTGAAAAAAAGACAAACTGCTTAAAAATGGCTAATAAAATGGCATAAAAGAGACAGTAAAGGGAAAACAGCATCCACCAAGGTATCATTGCTTCTCCTATATCTACATCAAGTCTTGTGTTTGGATCATCAGTGATCTGTATACAGAAGACGCCAAGTCAAAATGCATGCATGTATGTATAAATGGTATAAAACATTTTCTTACCTCCTTAATGCATGCCAGAATGCCATCAACATAGGTGGACTTCATTTTCTCCAGCTAGACAAAAATTTCAGTACACGAAAGGCTTTAGACCACAATATCTCAGCATATAAAACATCTCAGTATGTAAAATTGCAATGTTTTGAGGACAAAATATTACTGGCACCACCATAAAGCTGGTGTGTCATGCCGAAGGGTGGTTATATTGGCTATACTGATACAGATACACATAAAGTAGCTCATTTCAAAAAGTGATGAAATGATTCGTATCACCTTTCTGTACTCCAAGACCAACTTTGGAAGGGGATGTAGATGTTGAAGCTTCACCAGCTGAAAAAATGTTAGAAAAGCAGTATCGTTTTCGTGGTGTTTATAGTTCATGGTTGAAACAATTCTGTAGTACATAGAGAACAAACACATTTTGGCAGTGTCATGATTTTCAATTAAGAGGACACTGCAAAAACAAAACCACGGCAGCCATTTCACAATTTACAGTATAACTTGCCAGAGGCGAAGATGGAAGCACTTCTACTGCAGTAACCATGTGCCAGCTTACCACAGACTCTGAGGTAGACTTCAGATTGTTGACACTGGTTCTGGCCAGTTTCTGTCTGTTCTCACACTTCTCATCAAGGTGGAGCTCATCAAACAACACCTGAAGCATGGATAGGGCACACTGACATACATTGTAACCTCAAGACAACCTTGTACAAGTTTGTGTAAGACCATGACAAATGCAATATTCATATTAAAAAAAAACACCCAACAAATATTGATCACACAACCGTGTTGCATCCATACCACTTACTGTTCTCAGCTGCACATGACTACTGAGTAGAAAGCGATGACCAGCTGATTTGTAAGCATCAGACTCCACCATACCAATCCTCTTCTATATATGATATATCAAATATTTCTTGAGAAGGAAAACTATATTGTATAGTAATAAGTTGTAGGTTACTACAAATACATGTACACACATTGTTGCCAGTTAGCAAATGATTATGTACAAATTTCAAACATTCTGTGTAACTGGACATGCATGACACCTAGCATACATAAGCAGTACTACAGGTTAAAGTTTGAGCATGGCAGTTTCAGAAGAAAGAACTGGGAGACACATGTTTTCAATATTTGTTACTCCGTGAAGGAGGTCAGGACCTCCGGACGGAGTGTTGTGATCGGCTGATTTTTGGCGACGCCCTTTGGGGGCGGAGGCATTTGTGTAAGTACTACGATCGCTTTGAAAGAATTTCAAAAATTGCACGAATGCATTCCCTGGGGAATTGGTTTTGAGGAAACCTTCGGCCATGTGGTTTTTGGATCAAGCAGGTAACTTACACCAGTGCCCACGTGCCACCCATCCAGCTGCCTGGCATGATTAATTACTGGACATTTGTCTTCTCCCCACACCATGGACAGAGAGCACAGCTGTCTTTGGCCAAAGACCATATCAGATCACAGAGAGAAAAGAAATTGTCCGTCCTTTTGGATCCCACAAAAGGTAAAAAAAAAACAAAGGAGTAACAACTTCAGACCAGACATAAAATCCAGTCTCTGGTGGAGGATAGAGTGAAGTGAAATGGAGGATGGTTTGGTTCTAGCGGGAACTCGACCAAAGTAAAGTAAGTAAGTATGTCATCATAAAATCTATATTGCTGGGGAAGAACGGCTGATTCCTCCTATACGTGTATTTGGTATATTGCCCCACACCTCCTCCACCCATCCTGTAAATTTCACTACGTGCATGTCTTTATAAGATAGGGAAATATGTTTTTCTGATAATTGTAATGTAGATTGCTAGCTCCACCATATGAAATAATATATATCATTCAGTCGTCGCCTTGGCAATGATTTTTATTGCCTCAGCCTTGTTCATGTTCGCAGTCAAAACACTGGGTTCTCTTTGTGTAATCGGCACGCAATTTTATACGCCGTCTGCGGGCATGCCCGTGTTGATGCACGAATGTGTATTTTTGCCGTTGCTGCTTTCGCGGTCAATGTAATATTGCAGACGCACCCCTACAATTACGAGGCGAATTGGAATGGTCCAGAAAACGCGTT